GATGGATGGATGGATGGATTTGCCTTTGTCTCTCTCACGCAGTAGGGGGCAATAGCGACACACACACCTTCACAGTGGCCCGGATGCTTAGGCGCCGGGAGCGCAAACAGAAACGCCTCAGCACTCGTTTGTGCTCCAAGCAGGATCTATGGTTCAAAATCGCCTTAAATGAAAATCTAACCGTGTGATACTTCAAGGCAGCACTTAGCAATCGAAAACCAAACCAGCAGAGACCAGGACTTGAACTAGACATTCGGAGATAATCCTGTAAATACGCAGTGTTTACACTGCAGTTTCCAAGAATGTTTACCACACTCCTCCCTAATATTTAGCTGTGGTGGGGCTCAGGGCCTGGCCGCCCTATAGGCGATCGCCTAGGGCGCCAATTCAATAGAGGGTGCAAAAATGAACAGAAGAAATACCAGGACATTACAGTTATTTACACTAGTTTTAATATTTCACTACTTTTCTTATGCATCAGATGCCAGTTTGCTAGTTAGCAGCCAGATACCCTGTGTTACTAAAATGTTTGGAATAAAAAAACTGACAGAATTTGTTATTGTTGCTGTGCGTGTGGAGGAGTTCATCAGAATTTCGCCTGGGGTGCCAAAACACCCAGGGCCGACCCTAGTGAGGCTACTGTGTAAAGTATACCTGAGCATTCCTCTGCCTCTGTGGGTGTTAAGGGGCTGGTTTTATAGCGGGTCCTGCCTGGGCCTGAGTGACACCAGCAGCTCGCTGAGACTGGTTAGGGCAGCACCAGCTGCAGCCACGACAACGAGACGGGCTGCCTCTCTTATCTCAGAGAGGAGTTTCGTAAGCAGACATTCTCAGGTTAATATGCAGTATGGTGTCCCTTCTGGGACTCGGGTTGCGGGGCAGCAAGTGAACATGGAAAGGTATTTATTTCACCAGGGCAGGGCGTGCAGCGGAAACTGCCGGAAAGCTCCCTGATTTAGCAGTAAGGGGCGCTGTCTCTGAAAGGAGGAGCCACAGAAAGCCGCTCCTGTACTGGAGGCCGAGGATTATGAGGTGAATCACAGCTCTCCGTCGTCACGACGAGGGCTTGACCGGAAAATGGCCTGATCGCATGGCAGCTCGCAGGCTGCCTAATAACATCGCCGTGTAACTGAAGTATGTCCATGAACCAGCTTGATGTACAGCAGCAAAGAGTCAGGAGGATTATGTCCAAAGTTCCATATTCCTGTTAGCAGGCAGCTCAGATAAAAGGCTGTCCATCCTGTTCACAGGCATATTCCCTTTGCTGCTACAGCATTAGAACAGCTGCTTCCTACATGAACCCAAAGCGGCAGCACCTGGTTTCTAGAAGCTTCCCCGGTTACTTGTAAACTCCCTCCTGCTTAGTTACCTCAGGCTCTTTCTTCTGCCATCAAGCTTAATTCTGACGCCTTTCAGAATGACACCAAATGGGTTTCTCTTTTCTAGCTGCACAGAATTAAAAGACACATTTTCTAACTAAAAAAAGATGGTCAGCACAGACACAGACACACAAACCCACAAAGCTTTGACAGTTACAAAACTTCAAACCTGGGAAAGAAAAACAAACTAATTTCAGTGTAAGCATCCCTGCTGGGCTGCATGTGATGGTGCAGAGAGGGCAACAGTCTTCCTGCAGAGTTAGGAGCCACCAGGCTGAAACTATTGATGGAGGCCAACAGAAAAGATATGAGGACCTGGATCAGCCAGCAGGAGGACACTGCTGCATGTATCTGGGTGAGTTCCTCCAGTCAGAGGACCTGGATCAGCCAGGAGGAGGACACTGCTGCATGTATCTGGGTGAGCTCCTCCAGAGTCACATAAAGCTTGGTGCCATGTCCTACAGTGAGCCTTTGGAAGGGCCACACAACCACACACAGACTAAATTATTCTTTAGTAACACCCCAGCTATTTAGCAGGCTGAGAGCAGTTCAGCTAAAGGTGGATGTAGTATGACAGGTATGTTCTGGGTGCGGTGCGGCAGCTTGGGCGAATTATGGCTGCACCATTATTCACCGTGCTGTTAGGCGTGCCCCGCGGGACTGAGGCAGAGGTCTGGGCTGCGGGGGGCACCAGCCAAGAGGCGGTAGGAGGGACAGTGCGGCAGCAGGCGGGCAGGCGAAGCCCCGTCCGCTGATCTGCCTCGGAAGCCCCGTGGTGAACGAGACTCAGCATGCAGCCTATAGCTACTGTAAAACAACTGGGCAGGCGTGAAAGGCACTAAACAGCGTGACAGCATACACTTTCCTCTGTGAAGTTACCAAAAACAGGTCTGGTTTGTGCCTGAAAGACCGGCACATTCTAGGAACAGATTCTAGTTTAGATAAGCGATCACCAAACATGCTGAGCATGGAAACCACACAGACACCCAACACCTTTATCAGCACTCTTTTCATATAAAAATATTCACCACATTTTGTATTAAAGAAGAAACAGCAACCTTCTGCATGGTACCAAAGAGGGTTTGTCTGGAAACTCGTCAGGAGGTTGAGGAACACAGCACCGCGGACCCCCCCAGGATCCTCATTGTGTCTCGCCCTCCGGCATGAGCGGTAATTGCAGGATGGCCTCACCTGGGTAAAACTCTTGAGAGTGGCTCTGAACGTCTGCTTCCTCCTGCAGCGACTCAGTCCTGTTGTCCTCCACAGGGACCACAGTAAAGTTTGTGGGCATTTTCTCCGCATGTGCCTTCCTCCGGACAGGTGCGAGCCTGGCGATACACCCTCACGCTGCCTCAAAGCTCTCTACCGGCTCCGCTACAGTCCGAAGTTCTCAGTTTCCTTTCTCCACTATCGCTTAGATACTGGGCCCCATGTGACCAGCCTCTCTCCTTTTAAGGAGTGCGGAGAGGCTCCGCCCACTGGCAGGCCCTTCCCTGCTATCAGGAAGAGTGCCGCCTGCTGTGAGCAGCTCTTCCTGAACGCACTGGCCCCGTCTGAAAGGAGAAGCTTCAGCGCTCCTCCATTGGCCACGGAGGGTGGGGGTTGGTGCTGGAAGTGCTACATTTCTTGTTTGCCTGCACCCATCTGGTGCAGTAACGTAGGTACCATGAGTACAAATCTGACGTCTTCTCTGCATGCGCACACAGGGCAAGGGGCCCCTTTGTGTGGTTAACCGCTCAGCCTGCCATTAACAGGCAGCCCACTGTAGCCCACTCATGAACTCCAGATGCCCAACCCCACCCCAGGGACAGGAAACAGGAGGGAACAATTGATTTATTCAAACTTTCTTCTGAATAGATGAAAAATTCTCTTACATTCTCCTAAGCACAGCACGCAAACACATTCTGGATGGTCAAGAACGACGGGCTTGTCTTCCGGTGCTTACAAATAAACGTACAGATGTAGGAATTTTGAAAAATGTGCTCATAGGCAAGGCACTGCCATTGTTCATTTTAAGTTACTGTTCATTTTCTTCTATAACATTGTTGCTAACAAACTGCCACAGAGCATCACATTTGCCAACAAGAAGTATCATGAAAGTTAAACATGAAAAAAAAAAGAATCAACATCTGAGTGAAAAATATAAGAAGGCAAAAGCAGAAACAAACACCCCAGTGGTAATTAGAGGAGGAGCATGCTGCTGGGGGGGGGGGGGGCACAGCCGAATAGCTGCCCATCCCCCACCCACACCCTCCCCCCAACATACACTAACATTATACAGTTAGCAAGGCTCTAAGCCAGGGGTGGGGCTGGCTTCGGGCATCTGTGCTGACGAGCAATCAGAACCAGGACAATGGACCGGGTCCATGTGTGACAGCTGCAGCAGAAACACCGGGCCAGTTACAGCGGGCCGTCCTCATGGCCGCTTCCCGTGAAGCTATAAAGACACCAACATCCTGGGTTACAGCAGTAAAACAGATAGTGTGGTGTGTGTGTGTGTGTCTGTGGCTGTCTGTGTTTATGTCTGTGTGTGTGTCTGTGTGTGTGTGTGTCTGTGTGCCTGTATGTGTGTGGCTGTCTGTGTTTATGTCTGTATGTCTATGTGTGTGTATGTGTGTGTATGTGTGTGTATGTGTGTG